ATTACATCCACTCTGCGGTGCTGCACTTGGCTCTAATACCTTTGCACTTATTAGCTACATCTATCATAGAACTGAAGCCTTTTTTAAGCTCGTAGCCGCACATTAAGCCTTTCCCTCTCTGTCCTATCAGCATTTTCACATCCTCTGGCGACTCTATACCATACACTCTTCTCCTTTCCTGCCTCATCCCCCCCTTCTTCCTCTCCTCCTCTTTATATCCTCTGGGATCTCTGGTGTCCACACTCTCCACTCTCCTTCCCATCCCTTTCTTTCTCACCATCTGTGCAGCCTATTGCTTCTTAGCGCCCTTTGTAGCCGCCCTCGCCTCCTCTCCTCAGCTCCCCGTCCCTCTCCTCCTCTCTCGTGACTCCAGCCGGAGCTCCTCGGCTGGATATCACACCACCTCTCTCCTCCTGCTTCATCCGTCTTTTCCCCCCTTCTTTCCTCATCCCTTTGCCCTGCCATGGGTCGGACTTCCAAGCATCACATTCGATAAGGATTGATTCACGTGTGGAAATGTATTTCTGGCTTTCTAGTTTCTTCTGCCTCCATCCATCTCGCTATTGATCCGTTTGCTCATCCACTATGGTTATTGTTTGTCACTGTCCAGGCCTTAATGTTGTTTTTTTGGCCTTTGGAATGTCAGTATTTCCTCATCTATGCTTCTGTCACTAGTGCAGGAGTTTTAATATTTTTGATTTCAAGGATTTTTATAAGCCTTAAAGTATTTAACAAGAAAAATTAGGAATTAGAGGCATGTTTGTGCATCACTTTAGATATCTGTGAGCCACTGGATTTATCTTTTGAATCCCTCTAAGGCTTTAATCCACTAACTTAGTCCTTTAATTTAGCTAAAAATGCTCAAATCTGTTGGACACCACTATTTGCTCTACATACTTTGATCTTAGGCGTCTATAATGACTGATCAGAAGAGTCAACAGACTGCTCACATAACCTCTCCACAGTGACTTCAATGGTCTGGCAGCTCAACCAGGTGTCTGAAAAACACGATAAACTTGCAATTTGAAAAACATGTCTTGTTTTTTGCGCTGCACTTTATTCCCCACAGGATGTTGTATCTTAAATGCAGATAAAAACTGATGGTTGACTAACTTGAATCAACAATTTGGCTTGTAGCTTTTTATTTGCTGCAGCTCATACAGTCTGAAGTTGGAGTAACTGGACAAAGGCCAAGAGTTTTTGCTCCTTCTATTGATTTTTTTAATGTTCTAAAAACCACTTGAAAATTTGGCAGTCAGGATGCCAGAAGAAATATGTTAAAAAAAACTAAAACAAAACTGGATTATTGTGACATTAAGAAACGAAAAATATCTGTAAAATGATAAAAGTGATGTAAAATGATATTTAGATTCTTTAAAAACTGTAATTTTATGCTCACAAGTTGTAAAAGAACAACTTACTAATTGTAAAAGTACATTTTTGGTGCAAACATGTGTAGTTTTGGACTGTTTTTTACAGTTAACATGTAAATTAATACTTTTTTCCCTGTGATTTAAATAGATATTTTCTACCAAAACAAGGAAAATACTTGCCGTTTTTAAATCCTTTATATATATATAGTGTTTCTTTTAAATAATGGCAAATCAGTATCTTTGAAAATGTGTTTTTGCTGATTTAAATACAGCAAAAAAAAAAAAAAGGTCAAACATAGTAAATTAATGAACAAATTGGCACTTTTTTGTAGATGTTATTTACAGTTTTGGCCTGTTTTTTAACAGTTAACATGTAAATTAACACTTTTTTCCTGTGATATCTTTACTTATCATCTGCAATTTGCCAAAATTGGGGAAATCTGTAAAAACAGTGAGTTGTTCAAAGAAATCTGGTGAAAAACTACTTAAAATGGTTCATTTGTGACACTGTCGTTAAATAGACTTCATGTTGCTGTCGGAGCCAAAAATCCTGATCAGAGCCTCCTTAATTTGCCCCCCTGACCTCCCCACCTACCATCTTTATGGCCTCGGGGTACAGAGGCTCTATGAGGACCCCTCTGCTCGTGGCCACGCTCTCCACCAGCTCGTTGAGCGCCGCACGTTTGATCTCCTTCCCCTTCAGGTCGGCCACGCAGTCCAGGAAATCAAACAGCACGCAGCACTGCTGCAGCTTCTTACAGAACAGGTCGTGTAACTCTGCCACCGGGGCGTCTGGACGATTGAGAGGGAGGAAGAAGGAAGAAAGAGAGCTGTTAGACACGGAGGTTAAAGGATGAAAATAGGTGATGAAGCTCAGCCACATCCGCCGCTGAAAGGCCCTTTGTGTGTGTGTTTGGAAGTGAATCATTTGACAAAGTGGGAGCCCGGAGAAGCGAGCAGGAGTCTACATATTGTACAGGCTGGATCTTCTCTCAAAGGTAATGAGGGAAAGAGAGCGGACTATTACTCCACAAACACCCACACACACACACACACACACACACACATCTGTCCACACGTTTCTTCCTCCGGAGTGCCGTGTTGCATCTCAGTCCTATTACCTGTCAGATCCGCTCCTCAGACCTGTTTGTCACAATGAAACAACCTGCTGCTGGTCGACACACGGAAACCTCAAAAAAAAAAAAAAAAAACCCACTTCCACAGGGAGAGCGGCGGGATTACTGAGCACATACAAAGAGTTTTAAATTGATTCCACAGGCCTGAGGGGTGTGAAACTTAGCGGCTCAGCCTGTAAAGCATCATGCAAAAGCAAAAAAGGAACTGAATCACTCACCAAAATAGAAAGTTATCGGGTTGGACAGCAAGTGAATGGGATCTTTTTCTGAGTAACCACATGATTGATGACTCAATAGTTACAGCAGCGAAATATTCATATTTTAGACGTGAGACGTATGTGAGGTTTGACGAAATGAGAATAAATAGATTTATATTTAGATTAATGATATGAAATCAAACAAAAAAAACAAAAATGAATCATCTGTGAGGAGGTTTTGAGGGATTTATGTTGAGAAATGACATTTTAAGGAGATTTTTTTGTGTCTCAGAGCACATGTGTGTATCTACGACCTGATGTTTGCTGGATTTATTATAACATATAAGAAATTCAGCTAGAATGGCATCACAGACAGATCATCTGCTATTGGCTGTTTGACACTTTGACAATTCTAAATCGCTTTCCTACTTCCTGTTGTCGTCCTTTTGCTTCAAACTGCCCATTAGCGACCCACAGGGGCTTATTTTTTTTAGCAATATATGCAAATGTTTGTATGAAATTACAAGCTAATCTACCTCCAGGATGTCTTGGAGTACCACTGCTGGTGTAGCTAATGAGCTCGCTGCTTATTGAGCCGTCAGAGTGAATGAATAAAAGAGTGGGTTACCCAAAATAGTGATGACTAATCTGAGGGCAGGGTGCCACGCGGGATAAAAACTCAAGCGGCGGAGCGGTCTCAGCTTGGCCGCCGCCATCAAAGCTGCTGTTTGCACCGGGTCCAGATCCTCGCTTTGTTCAGATTTAAGCAAAAACAACAAAGAAAAGCTCGATGGTATTTAAATGCGCTGAGTCACCATTTGATTACTCTTTGCTGTGTTTAATGCAATCAAGTACAAGAGCGACTTCAAAATGCACCCTCTGAACCAAACAAGCAGTGTGGTTTATTTTAACCCACTGTGGGCTCATTTTCACTCCAATATAAAGTCCTGCACCTCTACGGAAACTAAACCATGGCTGGCATTTGTGCAGTATGACAGTTTGAATGCCATAAATCATATAACAAAATAGAAGAAACAGGATTTACTATGTGAAACAGCTTTCCAAGTGCCTACAGCTGGGTTATATTAGAAAAAAAAAGGCCATTTTGGGTATTTTTCTACAGAAAATTTTGCAAGCCAGGCATTTTTCATGTTTTTTTGCACATCAGTTTTACCGAATATTTCACCGGGTTGAATGCATCATCCAACAACTTGCTGATTTTTTTTGAGTCGTGCTGCATTTATTCAACTGATTACATGCTTTTTGTTTTGCTCTTTCCATTTGTTTCCATACTTGTTTCCTATCTGCTCTAAACACAGCCTGCAGTTCAACCAAAAACTTCCAAACTTTTTGTCCTGTGACTGTTGGTAGCAGCTGAGTCACTCTTAGCTCTTAGCTTAGCAGAGAAATGCAGGATTTTTTTGTTTTTTGCAGAATATTATTTGTGCAAACAGTTCATTTTTTTGTTGATTTTTATTTTTTTTTTAAATAATCAGGGAAATTTGGTGAAATATGAGGATTTTAAGCTTAGATTTGGTTTTGTTTTTCAACGCATACAGCAGATGAGTAGTTCAAGGACAGTCGGAAAGTCCAAATGCTTTTACATTTTCTGATAAATGGTGTCATTTTGTCGATTTCTTTTTAAGACATTTCAAAGCCGCACAGAAAATGCAAATTCTTAATTTTCTATGCGTTTCAAACCCGCTGGCTGGTTCATGGGTTCAGAGGGATAAACGCAGTAAATAGTTTGTGTGGCCTTCGTGACACTGTGCTAACAAGCGAGCACTTAAAGCTGCATTAAACCGTATAGTCGTACCTAATATACGGGTTAATCGGTGGACGGCTCAGTCTTGAACAAATACCCTCCTTGTGTCAGAGGACAACAACGCAGCTCACCAGCGGCTGGGAACAGTCTAGACTAACTGTGCAGAGAAAATGATCCGAGGCACACACACACATAAACAACACAGTGGGAGCGGATTAGATTTAACCCTTCTTAACCCCCAGGTGAGGAGCACAGGAGGGGTTTGTTGGGGGGGCGGGGGGCCGACTGGAGCTCTTCCAGTCCCAGACCACCTCACCTCTCGTGGGCGCAACACGACCATCTGCTCCCTTTGGCACCGAGGCGCACAAGAACAGACAAGACCTGCCCTTTGCTGGAGGTGTCAGGAAACTCTCTCGCTCTTGGGAGACCGTGGAAGGTGGCGCTTCACGATGAGGACCGATTAAAATACAAGATCAGGAGCCAGATTGTCTGACTCCACACAAAGGAGTTAAATCTAGTTTAAGATTAGGGTGTTTGAAGGCTCAAAATACCAGGACTGGTCCACGTGTTGTTTAGGATACATTCCTTGCACTGTATTTTTTTCAATAACCTGCTCTTATTTTAAAGATCCTCATTGTTTTGTTAAATGACAGATAAAAAGTAGTAAAGCCACAACTAGCTAGTTTTAATTTACAGGTAGATTTTTTTTAAAAATGTCCACAAATCAGCCAAAAATCTGTTTTTTCACACATATTTATTTCGTCTTTTACAACATGTCAGCGTAAAACTA